TATAAAAAAACTATTTAACTACTATCTGGATAGATTAAAAATCGAGAAAACTGTGATTTAAAAATCGTTTTTTCACTTATTTGATCTGTAAGGCAAGCAAGTCATGATATGTAGCATTTTACGGTTGAAATGATCCAAATAACAAATTTTTAAAAGTTTGATAATTTATTTATTAAAAAATATATGTAAGGATGATTTTTTTTTTTGTCAATAACTATGACTCGGTGAGTTGCACGATATTAACTTTTTTATTTTATTTTCTTCACAATCTTTTAATTACATATTTTAAAAATATTATAATAACTCAAGAAATTTAAAATACTACTTTATGTAAAAGTGATTACATTTTTCAAGTCATTTTATAAAAATAACTTTTAAATTATACAATTTTAAACAAGTTAAAATAATTTAAGTAACCAGTTTTCTAAAAAATTCAATCATTTAATTATTCAAAAAAAATGCAACGACTTAATCATTTAACATAAAAAGAGTTTCAACACCTTATTCAATCAAAAAAGAGTTCAACAACTTATTCAATAAAAAAAAAAGTTCAAGAAACTTAATAATTCAAAATGGAATAATTTCTTTAATTTTCTGAATTTTTTCCTTATTTAAGTTTAATGCAAATGGTTTATATAAATATCTCATCAATTAAAATAACTAATTGAACATAAAAATTAACTTTTAGATTAAACTATTTTAAGCTTTTTAAAATAATTATAATAAAACTTTAATACTAATATATATATATATATATATATATATATAATATAAATGAAGATAATAAATTTATAATAATAATATAAATAAAAAAAATTTATATAATATATGTCGAGTTACACGGAATGTATTTATATAATTACTAGAAGCGTACTCGCGCAATGCAGCGAGATACATCCTGATTTTAATATTTCATTTTATTATTTATCTCAGTTAATGTTATAATATGGCTTTATGTGATTTTGAGAAAAAAACGATGATGTTTTTATTTTTGAATAAAATATATGTTTGAAGATATCATAAAAATTTGACAAAAATATATCGATATTAGTATCAA